TGTTGTTCAGTCACTCAGCCATGTCTGACTCTCCAACCCCATGAAATGCAGAACCCCAGGTTTCTCTGTCCTTCACTACCTCCCAAAGTTTGCTCAGATTCATGTCCATTGAGTCGGTGATGGCATTCAGCCATCTCATGCTCTGTTGACCCCTTCTCCTCCTACCTTCAATCTTTCCCAGAATCAGGGTCTTTTCCAATGAGTTAGCTCTTTGCATCAGGTGACCAAAGTATTGGAGCTTCAACTTCAGCATCAGTCTTTCCGATGAATATTCAGGGTTGATTTCTTTTAGGATTGACTGGTTTGATCTCCTTGCAGAAGGGACTCTCAAGAGTCTTCTCCAGCATCCCAGTTCAAAAGCATCAATTCTTCAGTGCTCAGCCCATGTGCAAATGGTTTTAGTTTCCCTTTCTGGAAAAGAGGGGGGAATGATGAATAACATGGGTAAGAAAGGAGGTTAAAATTTTGATAAGGTACAGAAATATAAAATACTATTTTTATAGGGGAGAGAAAATATTAAAAATTACCATGAGACAGTGAGCAGTCATTTAACTCTACTGATTTTTTTCCCCGAACGAGGCCACTGTTAATCATTTTTCGCTATTCTGAGCATGTATTTGTGCTGCTGGCTCCCGGGCTCTCTTTGTCAGTTTGAGCCAGTCCTTGGTACGAAAGTGACAAGTGGTGATGGTGGAAACTGACAGAATGAGGCACAGGCAGAAGTTCTGTTCATCTCTCGGATTGGCGCGGAGACAGCCTTCTTAGAAGCGTTTATGTTCCTTCTGCCATTTTCAGTGTGAATGAGTTGTTGTCATATCCAAAATCTATCTTAGACAGTATCTAATCTCTACCACCTTCTCATGCCCCCGCCCTACCCGAAACAGCCCACTTGTCTTAGGGCAAGATCACGCAGATTTCCATGGCTTGTTGACTTGAATCATAAAAGGCGAGAAAAATTTCGTTCCTGTGTTTGTGTCTCCTAGTTGTCCCAGTGAAAGGGAGTTCCCTGGTGATGGGAGCAGTGTTGAAGTGAGCTTCTGCTGTGGCTGCGTAATGGGTATGGGTATGGGTATGGCAAGCAAGCGCCTGCCGTTTGCTTTTAGTTCCACACCTTTGACATCACAGTGCTCCCCTCCAGGCTCACTGCTCCAATACTCCTGTCTGTTCACTGGCTTCGGGGGGATGTTCGAGTCCTGATGTGAAATGTGGTTCTCGGTCCTCAACAACTGGCCTTGGCTAATTGCTCAGCTCCTTCTGCAGGACTTTACGGGGTAGAAGCTGAAGGAGGGGCATGGACAGGTGCCCAGGCAGGTAGATAGAGGCACATGCAGAAGGGAACACTCATGTCCTGCGAACAATTCTCATCTAGAGACTAAAATCTGTCTTGTTCTGTTCACTAGAAATGATACATGAGGAAAGAGCTGATGTCTCTTTGTAAACCTACAACTACTTCTTAAAAAATTTCATAGAAATGATGGCCACTGAAGGGAATAAAGAGTTAACACTTTTGGGCTTCCCTGGTGGCCCAGTGGTAAAGAATCTGCCCGCAAATGCAGGAGACACGTGTTCCCCACATGCCGTGGAGCATCTAAGCCCGTGCGCTACAACTACCGAGCCTGTGGTCTGGAGCCCGCTAGCTAGAACTACTGAAGCCCACGCACCCAAGAGTCCATGCTCCGCAACAAGAGAAGCGACCGCAATGAGAAGCTTGTGCACTGCAGTTAGAGAGTAGCCCCTGCTTGCCACAACTAGAGAAAAGCCAGCAATGCAGACCCAGCACAGCCAAAAATAAACAAACACACACACACACAAACTAATAGCTTTGGTGATTTCAAGCCTTTAAGAATCTAAACCTGGAGCCAGCTAAGGGAGTTATTTTTAGTAGGCATCTAATGCTCAGAGGTCTCTGTGGCTTTCAGAGTCAGAGTTTGTTTTCCATCCAAGTACTAACCAGGGCTGACCCTGCTTAGCTCAGAGCTTGTTTAGTGCAGCAGTTTCTGAAGAAAAAACAAATCACAGTAGAGACTTCCCATAAGTGGACTGAATACAAGACTAGAGTATGATTTTTTAAAATGTTCATTGGTCAGTCAGTAAACTCAGGTTTGGTCGCAAGGATGAGAAATTCATTAAAGCTCATTTTAGAAATAGCAATTTTGAAGGTACCTCTCATGGAACCCAGCTTTAGGAAATAAAGCTGGACTTGGTAAGCCGGAAACTCAGCAGACAGCCAGTCACGCTGTCTGGATTGTCAAAGTGTCACTTCACTGGAAGTCTATTGTCTTGTCTCTGGAGATGAGCTGCTTCTGGAATGTTCTTCTCACCCATCCCTTAGGGTTGTGGCCAGCTTGGGTTCCGGAGCAGCAACTGGCCTTAACAGTACAGGCACCATAATGCCTCCTGGGGCGGCATTCTCAGATCACCGTTTCTGTAACTCTCACGTCAAAATATTTAGAGAAAAACACCTGATTAACTAATCTCTCCTCCAACTGGCTAGGATGAGAGGCAGGTCATTGGGTACAAACCTTGCTCTCCAAGGGTGGTTTCTTCTGAAAAGTGGGGCCTGGGTGGGAGAGGGCCTTTGCCTGAATTTCATTGGCTTCATCTTCAACTGTGTACAAGGAGTATAATAGTATAATATACTTCAATAGTGTATATATAAATATATATTTATAATATAATGTATATATGTAATACAATGTATGTATAATGTATAATATAGTATAAACAGTGTATACTTATATGGGGCTTCTCAGGTGCGCTAGTGGTAAAGATCCCACCTACCAATGCCAGAGACACAAGAGAGGGTAGGTTTGATTCCTGGGTTGAGGAGATTCCCCTGGAGGAGGTCATGGCAACCCAGTCCAATATTCTTGCCTGGAGAATTCCATGGGCAGAGGAGCCTGGCAGGCTACAGCCCATGGGGTCACAAAGAGTTGGACACAACTGAAGTTACTGAGCAAGTGAGTGAGCTTATATAGTGTATATAATCTATACTATAGTATAAATTATAATATACCATATATAGTATAAGAATAAAACAGTAACTGGTATTTACTGACCATTGATCACATGTTGGCACAAGACAGATGATAAACTTGAATATGTGTGTTTAATCCCGCATCCTTAATGGTGTAGGTACGATCATTATCTATCATTTACAAATGGGGAAACTGAGGCTTAGAGGTCAAGAACATGGTTCACCTGTCGGTGTGGGAGCCAGGCAGTCTGACTCCAGGTAGAATCCCAATGCACATGAAGCTGGCCTGGTCCTGGCCTGTGAAGGAAGCTGTGGAGACAGTCATCTGGCTGCAAAGATGGATTCTCTCTGATGCCACGTGTGTGTGCTCGGTCATGTCCAACTCTTTGCAAACCGCCAGACTGTAGCCCGCCAGGCTCCTCTGTCCATGGGATTCTCCAAGCAAGAATACTGGATGGATACATAAACCAAAACAAGAAAGATAGCATAACTGAAGGCTAAATAAATGCATAAAGTAAATGATACGTTGTTAGACTCTAGAGGAGGAAGAGAAAGAATGCTGTGAGCTGAAGGTCAGAAGGAAAGAGGCCTCTCCCCGCCTTTGAAGGTGCACAGAGGAGCGGTGCTGACAGCCAGGTAGCAGGTGTGTGCCCACAGGTCCCCTTCAGTCCCACCTGTTAGCATCCTCCAGTGATTTCAAGGCCACTCTGGTCGAGTCAGTCCCACAACCTGGCCTCTGAATTCCTAGGCATTCTCAGATCCAAGGACCCCCGACCCCACCTCAGTGACCCCCACACAGCCCCTCCCGGTCCACCCTGCTGTGTCTTTCCCAGCAGCGCCCTGTGCCCCAGCCCTGTGGCATCTCCTCTGTACATATTGGCCATTATTGCTGTCTCTCCCCATGGTGCCCTCCCGACCTCTTGCTGTCCATCAGGCGTCTGCTCACCGACCAACTGTCAGCCCAGTCAGCACCTCTTTGCTGAAAGGTTTTTGTCCTTCATTCTTTGTACTTGCCAATTCTGGCCACTCAGAGTCAGCCAGTCTCCTTTCCTGCTCCTGTAACACCTGTAAGCATCTCTCGCATCACCTATGACTTTGCACAGTTACACTTTTGCGCATGGGTTTCTTCTTCGACCCTGGGAACTCCTCCAGCTCAGGTGCCCCATCTCTCCTGTCCTTCTTGTATCTGCAGCACTCAGCAAGGAGCCTGGCACACAGAAGACTCTTCCTGAGTGTCTGCTGCCTGGGAGGATGGATGGAAGGAGCGTGGCATAACTGTAACAGAGATTCTTACGGGATAATAGTAACATTTATGTACCGCTTAGTAAGACATCAGTGTTTCGCCTCCCCACACCTCTGAGGCAGGTGATCTAGTCAAGGAAACTGAGCTCACAAGGCCAGGAAGTGGTGAAACTGGATCTCTGAGCCTTGCCTTTTTCTGCACAAGCTGTTTCTAACTCGGAGACTGGGCTGGTTTAGAGGGATATGGCCAGGACCAGCCCCTACTCCCCACAGGCACATTTCCCAAGGGGAGATATTAGCCCTGAATTTTAAGGTAATGGGATTCTTTCTGGAGACGCTGAGGGAAAGCTATAAAGGAAGCTATGTGAAAGCAAGACAGAGGCCCACCCTCGGGATGTACTGAAATGGCGACACCTAAGTTTCTGTGCCAGATTCCCTTGGACCACAGGGAAGCCACCCTCTGGCCCTGTCAGGCATCAGGCTCAGGGTTTTGGGCCGCCTTTGGCCCCATCACAGTACGTCCTTAGCAGTGACTGCGGGGGACGGTGGGCAGGACTGAGCCGCAGGTCTAGCGGTGCTTTATTCTTCAAGCCACAGTTATGGTGTCATTTCCCACGGGTATGAGTAAATGGTAGATTGAACTGTGCTTGACTTTATAAAAAGCTCTTTCTATAGTTACCTTTTAACATTCAACATCAATGCAGAATCAAACTCATTGTAAACATAGAGAAAAAATAATAATTTTCTGTCCTTTCTGCTCTCTCTTTTTTCTTTCCCTCAGATGGCTTCCATTTATGTCTCAGGGCATAATCCATGCAGAGGTCGACTTGGTCTTCAAGGTGAGGATCAATGCCAGCTGCAGTAGAAGAAAGTACAAGCTGACTTTGGTACAATGGACATCAGGGACACCCCCAGGTGCCCCAGAGCATTCCCTTCCACAGCTTACATTTCACATCAGATTATACAGAGAAGAGTGTGTAAGATGTGTCTGGGCAATGCACAGCTCCTCCTGTGAGTTAACAATCAACCCAAGGATTTGCTTCCATTTACGAGTTAAAGTCACACTTTTTTTTCCTATCACTTATAATGTCATCAGACAGATCTATTATTAACTGCACTTCACTTTTATTTTTGCAGAAATGCAAGTAAATCATCAACCTAAAATACAAGAAGCAAATGGCAAATGCTGTTGCCACTTTTTGTCTATTTAATCATCTGGAAATAATTTATTTCTGTTCCAAGATTACCTACCTCAAACAATTTTTAGAATATTCCAACTGAGTTTAAACTATTGACTGAAAAACACTTAAAATGATTGTAGAAACAGGTATTAAATCATGGTCTGATTTATAAAGAAACTAACAAAAGACACTTTAGCCACAGATGCTTTTTCCTTTCAATAATTTAAATGTATGGGAAAAATAATTATTTTTCAAAGGGTTAATTTCTATTAATTATACTTTCTATTTTTTTACCACTAATTTTGCATACTGATTTCTCAATTTATTTTTTTTTTAGTTTAGCTTTTTTTATTAGATCTTCAAATCAACCTGTGACTGTGTTATTAACATATTTACAGAAAGCTGATCCAAGTGGGGTCGGTAAATACAGATTCCGTAGTATGCATGTCAAGTCATCAAACCTCTATGTTTTCAAAAGTGTTTGTACTGTGTATGATAATTTGAAAATAGGCGGGGTTTACTGCTGACATTGCTGTATTCATGAAATCCAATATTGACCAGGATGGCCACTGATGAAGACATCACATTCAAGCTGATAATTAGCACTTGTCTTTATTAATATTAGAAACTGCACTTTGGCTTATATTTTACTTTTTGTTTTTGTTTTTTTTTACTTTTTGTGTTTTAGTTATTTATAGATGAAAGGCTGTATGTGTATTAATATAAACAGAATTTTACTAATGTACTGAAATCTCTTAGTAATTTTAAGGAGTCTTAAAAGGTTTGTGTCTAAAATAAGCCTTTAAGTAATAAAGCTTGAAATGACATTCTAAGTGAAAAATTATCCATTAATTCCAGAACTTGGCAAGGCATATAAGAATAATAAAAGCTAATAGTTTTAAGCTGAAGACCCCAATTAAGGATGAAAATGCTGGAATTCTTTTGTTAATAATATTAGCCGTGTAACCAATATAGTTGTTATTGTTCAGTTGCCAAGTCATGTCTGACTCTTTGCGACCCCATGGACTGCAACATGCCAGACTTCTCTGTCCTCCACCATCTCCTGGAGTGTGCTCAAACTCATGTCCATTGAGTTGGTGATGCAATCTAACCATCTCATCCTCTGCTGCCTGCTTCTCCTCTTGCCCTCAGTCTTTCCCAACATCAGTATCTTTTCCAATGGGTTGGCTCCTCGCATCAGGTGTCCAGTGTATCAATGTAAGTGAGACCAGAGTGAAGTTACAATATATAGTAGTGATGGTTACCTAGGAGTTTGATAGAGTTTATCAGTGTAACTTTGATTAAAATAGACTATTCTAAGAGTTTTTTAGTTATTATTTCAGTGATTTCAGTTTATTCTTATGGCCTCATTAAAATGTTTTTTTATAGCACAAATGTAGATTAATCACAGACCTTAGTTTGTAAGACACCTTAATTATTTGTGAATGATCCTCTTTTATTTCATTTTTAAATTTGGAAGAGTATTAAAGAATTTGATCTTTAATATGTCTTGGGTTACCAAAAGTGGGGTCCCTGCTCCATTTCAATATAATTCTTAGAAATTCATTAATAGACTTAGAGTTATATGAATAAGCTAATTTATGGTGTGAAAAGACCTTGAGAAGTTAAGTAGCCTAATCTGACGAGGCAGGGCTACATTGTGGTTAAGTCTTGAGGAGCAAACTCAACACTGAGTCTTAGATTTTGAAAGCATATGAGGCACATTTATGTAATTCATGCCTTTTTATGCTGCTGTAGTAGGAAGAAAGTAGACCAAGAAGCTATTTCAGTGTGATGGTAGTAGGAAAGAAAAAGGAAGGATCAGCTGAGTTAACTTTGTTTTGGGGTGATTAATAATAAATGTGATGATGTACCATCACTAACTCTGTGCCACATTTAGTAAACTCCCAAAATTACCTAAAGACATGTCTCTCAAGCCTAGACAGCTTATAAATGCAAATATTTATAATTCTATAGGTGAAATCATTGCCATGGTAAAATTGCATTTCTGAGGTAGACTGGACTAGGTCATGAGATAATATCTTTAGTTTTTTCTTTTGACCTGTATTATTCTTTATTTAGCTCACTTTTTTTTATTTTATGAGATAATATCTTTAATGTACTTTGCTGGATTGACTTTTCTAACTTGTCAATGCCTCTGGGTACCTCTTATAGCTAACCACTATACTAAACCCTCTTGTTAATGCCAATAAATTTATATCTATTCTGTAATAATAAATATGTTTGGTGGTGATGGTCTAGTCACTAATGTCTGACTCTTTGTGACCCCATGGACTATAGCCTGCCAGGCTCCTCTATCCAAGGTATTCTCCAGGCAAGAATACTGGAGTGGGTTGCCATTTCCTCTTCCAGGGTATCTTCCCAAGCCAGGGATCAAACCTGTGTCTCCCACATTGCAGGCAATGTCTTTATCGACTGAGCCACCAGAGAAGCTCATAAATATATTTAAATTATTAATAATTCTAGTTCTAATAAGTCTTCTCAAGATACTATTGAATGATCTGGAAAAACAGCCATATCACGTGTGAATAGTCATCATCTTTTCTTGCCCTAACATACTATCTAGGTCTCTGGTACAATGTGGAGAAGCAGTAAAGATAGCATTAGTAGTGAACACATGTAGGATGTGCTGTGCTGGGGCTAAGTGATTCAATCTACATTTATGTAATCCTCACAATAACACATGGGATCCATGGTATCACTGTTCCATTTTACAGGTGATGAAGCTAAAGGACAGAGAAGTGTTTGTTTGTTTTTAACTTTCCTAAAGTCACACAGATGGCAAGTAGCAAATTTAGGATTTGAATCCAAATGATTCGACTCCATAGTCTGTACTGTTCTTGTTTAATGTAACGTCTTCTGACATCCCCTAGACACTATAAATGTGTGTGTTTATGTGTGTATATATCATCTGTATCTTTGGATTTATTTTGTTGTATTATTTTTCTAACTTATTAGGCCACATTTTTGGATCTTTAGCTTTCAACCTTATTTCAGACCTAAGTAAAAGGATGTTTTTCACTGTCAGAGAAGATTATTATTTTTGCTGTTATTATCTGTAGTAATCTCTTTCCACCTAGAACTTTCATGGAGATAAATTGTGTTTCTGCTGAGCTTCCTTTGCTGGCAGTTATTTGCTGGCCAACATTTCACTAAAGGTGCAGCCCCTTTGCCCTCATTTCCAGAAGTCTCAAGCCCAGCTTCCACTCCTTGGGAGCCCAACCCTTGCCCCAGGGGTGTTGGCATCCCCACAACAACTCAACTGTCTTGAGCATGACCGCTCACCACTCAGTTTCTGCTGATGACTCCTTTTATTGTTACTGTTATCTGGCATTAGGGGTTTTTTTTTTCTTAACTTTCTTGGAAACGAAATAAGATACTAAGAAGTTTGGGGTTTTGAGCTTTTTGTGTATTCATTTTTGTCTTTGCAATTTATTTGGACTCTAGTGGTGTATGGTTCCCGGGTGGCTCAGTCGTAAAGAACCCACCTGCCATTGCAGGAGACACAGGTTTGATCCCTGTGTTGGGAAGATCCCCTGGAGAAGGGCATGGCAACCCATTCCAGTATTCTTGCCTGGAAAATCACATGGACAGAGGAGCCTGTTCTAATGAGGCAGAAATGCCACTGATGGGAAGCTGGAATCCAGCTTCTTGAGGTTGGTCACAAGAAACCTGGGCACCTGACAGGAGCATGCGTTTACCTGTGATGCTGTCTTCCCTGCCAGTGACCCAGGTGTGAGGTGGAGCCGAATACACTCAGAGAGGAGCAGGGCACTCACACTCAGCTGCAGCAGAGAGCAGTTGTTCCGCCTGAACGGGGACCCGTAACAGGGTCTGGCACCAGAGAAGCTGCTGAGCATCTCGGTTAATAGTGCAGAGTCTACATCTCGATGGCACCACTGCTGCGTGGCTTGGGGAAATCAGTATATTTCTCTGTGCCTGGTTCTTTCTTATAAAATGGAGATGATAGTAGAAACGATGGCGTCCGTGTGAGGATTAGGTCAAATCATATCCATAAAGCACCTAAACAGACCCTGCTGCATCTTATACACCCAGTAGATGCTCTTTGTTTTTTTTTAATCATTCTTTTTTAAAATGGTCTTTATTTATTTGTGGCCGTGCTGGGTGTTTGTTTCTGTACATGGGCTTTCTCCAGTTTCGATGAGTAGGGGCTACTCCCTTGTTGGAGAGCTTGGGCTCTAGAGCATCAGCTCAGTAGTTGGGGCTCCTGGGCTTCGTTGCCCCACAGCATGTGGAGTCTTCCCAGACCAGGAATCAAAACTAAGTCCCCTGCATTGGCAGGTGGATTACTAACCACTGGACCACCAGGGAAGTCCTAGATGCTCATTTTCAAACTCTCCTTTCCCTGGTGATGAGATGCATCATGGGTCTAGGGCATCTGGCAGCAGCCCCGCTGGACCAGCAGTAGGGCTGGAGCTGAGTGGGCTGCACCGCGGTCCCCTGCCTCCAGGTTTGTGTGAACCGGGGTGCCCTTCACCACAGCAATACACAGTGAGCAGAAGCAGACAAATGACAAAGGTACACACCAAACCAATATCAGTATGAAACGCATAATAGATTCCTTGCTGATAGTGTCCTATGGTTGTT